AGGAAGTGGCCGAGTGGGCTAACGCGTCTCAGCTCGGAGCGTGGAGCGAAAGCTTGCGCTGGGAACCTCCTGGGTTCGATCCCCGCCGCCCCCGCCCGTTTCGATCTGGATGAGTTTCGTACCGGCACGCGTTCGTGTGATCACTACTGCGTGATGCACGTGAAAAACCCCAGGTTAGCGGTTGTGCTGCAGTGGCTAAATTTCTCATCTACAGCTAAGAGACCGATTACCCGTTGAGGCGCATCTCCATCAAGGCTGTATAAACATAAAGAGCAAGCCAATTTTTTAGCTTTGGTAGCCAGAAGTTGGGACGCCGCGACGACAGCGACACTCGCGTCTTCTCGCGCTTTTCGCCAGCATTTCTACGACCAACCGCCAGGATCGCCGACAGCGTGACACTCCGGCTTTCGTGGCGTCATTTGTTTCCACTTTCGGAGCCATCCTCGATATGTGGGAGGACCCTCGACCCACCGGTCGGAAAACCGTTCCGGGCGCCGTAATATAACTTCCGAATCAGATGGCGGTACGCTTTGAAACTCTTTCAGCGGGTCCCGGCCCTTAGCGCTGCATTCGGGTGGAGACAGGGCGGTCGGCTACGCGTCGTCTACTTTTGCTGCTAGAAACAAACACGGTTTCCTTTTCTATCGGACAACCGATACTCCCTGGACGCGAATGGATACAAAGTGCACGTTATGTGTATATGTATATATATATATATATATATAGACCAACTCATGTTTACAAAAAAAAAAAAAAAAAAAAAAACACGACCGTTTGACTTGAAGACACACTGAACGTAGTCCGGAAGTGGTCCGTACAACTTGACAGTTTTCCCGCGTTCATGTTGGAACAAAACAAATAAATCTGATGACCACAAGTATCCGTGAATTCAACCCAAAGTGCTTCCCGCCCAAGCAATCGTGGTCCGACGGCGTCTGGTTTTCCACTTTCACGGCACATATCCACGTTTTCGGACGAATCGAGCACATGAACACTGACATTCTAACTTTTCTCGACCCTTTTTGTACATCCCCAGCCCTAGCGTCTTGACGAGAAGGCAGAATTTTGTCTGGTTCCCTTCAAAACAACGCAGAAATGCATGTCCCACATGGTGACTTCCGCCCACAGCCCCAGACCGGAAGTGCGCTCGATGCGCCACCACCACGTCATGACGTAACAGAGTTGAGTTCATGTATACGTGGCTTGCACAGGACGTCATTTCCGTTGCCCTCCAGAGAAGAGGGGAAGAAGGAGCTCCCCGCTTATCAGGATTCTCCTTTGTGCCTCCCGGATTTGCACAGGCGTCGCCATTCTCCTCCCAAAAGATTATAGATTAACCTGTCACTCAAAATTCTTACAAAAGCAGCTTCTCTCTCCTCCTTTTACTTGGTGTTCAAATGTGTGCGATGTGACGTCAGTGCAAGGAGCATAGGCTTCTTGCACTGACGTCATATCGCACACATTTGAACACCAAGTAAAAGGAGGAGAGGGAAGCTGCTTTTGTAAGAATTTTGAGTGACAGGTTAATCTTCTATAATCTTCTAGGAGGAGAATGGCGACGCCTGTGCAAATCCGAGAGGCACAAAGGAGGATCCTGATAAGAGGGGAGCTCCTTCTTCCCCTCTTCTCTGGAGGGCAACGGAAATGACGCCCTGTGCAAGGAGCCCACCTATAGGCTCCTTGCACAGGACGTCATTTCCGTTGCCCTCCAAAGAAGAGGGGAAGAAGGAGCTCCCCTCTTATCAGGACCCTCCTTTGTACCTCCCGGATTTGTACAGGCGTCGCTATTCTCCCCCCAGAAGATTATAGAAGCTTACCCTGTCGCTCAAAATTGTTACAAAAGCAGCTTCCCTCTTCTCCTCTTACTTGGTGTTCAAAAGTGTGCGATGTGACGTCAGTGCAAGGAGCCTATACCGAGTGCGGTTGCACAGTGTTCTGGTGTTTGCTATCAACCCGCATCCGCTTCAACTATCGACCTGAAACACGAGCGTGCATTTCGTGTACACAAACATGTGTATAAATATCTCGACATATGTACATATAAATGCGATCGAACTCGAGAATGAGAGCGAATCAGTAATCGAAGAGCCACTGTATTCATATGACGGCTGGCGTTGGCGGATAGATCGCTGCGAGCTGGACGACCATACCTGTAGATACGGACGGTACTTTCTTAAAAATAAAACGGAACGCAGGAGAGAGTATATATGCCAAGCAACTTGTTCATAAAGCCTGAAAGAGAAATTATAATAATAATTAAAAAAAAAGTTTTGTTTTCCGTTGGAAGAACGGAAATATAGCCACGCTTCACTTCATAGATGAGGGTACCATTTTCAGTTAAGACGCCGAGCAAACGAGCGCTATCGGTTACGTATTTCCGGTAAACTTGTACTGTGTATGGATAGCAGATCGTCAAGAAAGTATTGGGAACTTTCGTTCGGTCGATGTACGACTTTTTTCGACAAAAGAGGAATAATTAGAGGGTAAGCAAACGTAGTAAAACAACTAAAAGGCAAATTTTGAAGGTTAGTAAAAGAGCAACGAGTGTCTTTAATTAAAATGGGTAAATGATTGTATCATTGTTTTTACTGTTTTGTTCTTGCGGCCTAGGTTTATTGCTCCTGACCGGTCTTCGCAAAGTCAGTACTCGACCACTAACAAGTACATGTCTTTTTATATGAGCTTCAGTTACTATATTTTGTTTAGAATGGCTACTGCTTCTAGTCACGCAAATTCTGCCATTAATAAAACAGTCACTACCTAAGCTATTCGTTTCTTAAGAATCAGCATAATGAGGATTCGGCTGGAGAAATGTTGCAATGCTTTTGAGCTGGCTACTCGTTCTAGTCACGCAGGTTGTAAATAAAACAGTAACTACCTAAGCTATTCGTCTCTTTAAGAATCAGCATGATGATGATTTGGCAAGACAAATGTTGCAATGCTTCAGATCTGGTTACTCGAAAGCAAGGGGAAAAAATGGCTAAAACGTAAGGTGCCAGTTCGCTTGTTTATCCCTTTATCAAAGGACACCATGGCATGAGGGCTTTATTAAGAGTAAATATTATTTATAGACATGGCATATTCTCAGCTATAATGACGAAGTCCCGGGACAACTTACAGAATAAAGGCTGCACTCCATAACAATGTCGTAGCCAAAAAAAAAAAAAAAAAAGATTAAGCGGGAGAGGGGGGGGGGGGGGGGGGGGGGGGGGGGGCAGCTTTAGCTACGCCACTGCTCCATGGAGTGAATATGGTGCGAGTAAGCGACGAATTTCTCCCGACGGCTTTGACTCTGCTCAAACCGTCAAAATAAAAAAAATGTCAACGCCTCTTTCATTAAAAAAAAAAAAAAAAAATGACAGAGTTTTAAGATGACAATGCTGGCGACATGCTATAGTTCTGTCTACACCTTCGTCGCCAAGTTGCTCTGGCTAAAGAACCGACATTCTTCAACGGCTGAAGAAATGCAAGCGTTTTGCAGGTAGTTTAGTTGGTATAAGCAGAATAATAAAAATGAAAAAAGAAAACGATATTGGCTGCCGCCTTAGCTGCGCATTCGGTTACTTTGCGCTCTGGAATGAAAATTTTGTCATTTCTCTTCAGCATAAAAAAAAAAAAAAAAAAAAAAAAAAATATATATATATATATATATATATATCAGGGTGTCGAACCGGAACCGAACCGAACCGAAAACCGGAACCGAACCGGTATTTTTTCCGGAACTGAACCCGAACCCGAACCGTTATATTGTTATCGCGATGAACCCGAACCAGAACTGAACCGGAAAAAAATAACGGTTACCGGCTCATGTCAAAACGATTCGGCCACGCGCTGTTGACAATGAATGTGCTATCAATGCCATTTGTTTTTTAAGTGCCGTCAACTAACACACACCTTGCTTACATATTTTTCTTCTCCACTCAGTCTTAGGAATATAAACGCTGCATCCATGAATCTTGACAAACGCTGCATCCATGAATCTTGACGTAGGAACCAGTATTGCGCTGGTCGCGGCTTGCACGGAAGAAAGAGAATTAAAAGGCTGTACAAAAAAAAAAAAAAAAATCGCGTCACGGGATTTTTTTAAACTTCTTTAAGGGTTTAATTTGAGTTACCGAAGGCTAGTTCAAATAAAGAAAGCTGTATTTTCTCCCCACTGTTCCTTCAATTGCTTACACGCCGAGGTGGCGGGATAGTTAGCGAGTTCTACTTGTCAGTGGGTTTGCAAAGAGGTCGCGGATTTTACAGCTACTGCGTCGGACCCAATTAGATGAAGTCCGAATGCGTAAACGTCGGTGAGGTAACCTTTGAGTGCACATAAAGAAACCATTCCTGGTAGAAATCCCTGAGCCTTACACTACGATGTATCCCGTTTCGTATGTGCTGATTTCAGATGTTTCATTTGTAATTTATTTTGATGTTGCAATTTGTCATTTATAATTTCCGAACCGGTTCGCAAACCGGTTCAGCGCCCCGAACCGGTTCGCGAACCGGTTCGCGGATCGAATTAATCGAACCGGAGCTGAACCGGAACAAAATAAATTTACCTGAACCTGAACCGTAACCGAACCCGTATTTTTTTCGGTTCGACACACTGATATATGTATATATATATGCAGCGATTTATACTGCGATTGAGAGCTTTTGTTATCTAATTATCTAATTTACGAATATACCATCCCACCGATTCATCCACAGAAGATTGCGCGCATTTTATATTAGAGTCCGTCAACAAATTTCCGCAGGAAACGCACACACAACTTGGGCCTTTATTGACTGATTTCTAATCGAAGTATACAGAGCGCTTTTTAATCAATCACTGCTCAAACGGTTAACCAGATAAACACATTAATCAAGGTATATGCTCAAGCGCCCATCCACTCCGTTTTCGACAGCGCGTTTCTTTTTGCCTCGATTCCGCGGAATAGCGACGAAGACGGGTTTCAAGGCATAAATCAACGAGTCATTCAACCCGAGGGAATCGATAGAGACCTACTTACCGGTCAGCGTCGCACAAAGCTGTTGGATTAGCACGTTTCGTGTCCAGGTCAGAACGTCGAGTGCCGCCCGATAAATCACGGAGTTGGCGACACGCTTCGCTCGAATGTTTCGTTGAGACGCTCTGTGTCCGTTTGACAGACTATGGAAATCGGCCGCGTGCTGAAAAGTCGTCTGCTGGCGTTGCTAGGAGACCGCGCTTGGACAACTAGCGACATCTTCCGTAAGCTCGCGAAAACGTCGCTAGTGTCGTTGATTTTTTTTTCCATGTTTTTTGCAAGTACGATGCGCGCCTTCGACTGATACGTTTACCTTGCTATCCCGCCCATGCTTAGAAAACTGTTTCTAAGAGCAAATTACGTCACATCAGACGGCGGGACATTCTGCCGAATGCCGCGAACCTAGCGGTTGGTTGTTGAAATGCTGGCGAAAAAGACCTGCGCACGCAATGATCGCTGTCGTCGCAGATTTTCATCTTGTATCTGCTTTGGTTTCCGTCAAAAGTCTGGCTATGGTGCCTGGAACTCGTTTCTGACTGGTGTATTTACCGCACCCAAAAAAATGGTCCTAATATTTAAACCCGATGACGTCATTAACGTGCTATGTTGCCGCCGGTCGCGATCCTGTCGGCGTCCCAGTAGCTATGGTGGGTGTGGCAGACGCCTGTTCTGCTGCAGATTGCTCTCCAGTGTGGCAGTGCACGGAAGCCTCCGCAGCCAGAAGTTGGGACGCCATGACCACAGCGACACTCGCGTTCGCTCATGCTTTTCTTCAGCATTTCTACGCCCAACCGCCAGGATCGCGATATCAGACAGCATGACACTCCTGCTTCTGTGACGTCACTTATCGCCGATTCGGGAACACTTTTGATGTGTGAGCAGTATAGGACGCTTAAACACACCAGTCGGAGACGCGCTCTTGGGTGCTAATTTTGGTCACCTGGAGGGCGACAGCGTCTCACGGAGCGAGCTCGAATATCGCTCACAGACGGTTCGTCTGCCCGCGCAAGGGAATCACTGGGTTTGTCTGCTGTGAAGCGTGGTACGCAGACGTGAATAAAACAAGAATACATTGCATGTATTTTCGCTACCGTAGCAAAAACAAAACAAAAGTTGATCGTCTCTGCTACAAACCGAGTGCCGCGGCGAAGCGAGGTGGGACTCGGGTTGCAATTATGATCGTCTATTTCACGTTTGAAGCGATCGACGACTCGTGCTTCCTTTGCAAATTCTCAAGTTGTTCTGCTGCCGTACAGAGGCTGAAACTCACCGGGGAACAAAGAGAGGCTCGGGACAATCACATCTGAGATAAAACTTCTCTCCCCATTTGTGTGTTGGTGAGAAGTTCTTACCAAAATACTGCCCGATCGTGGACTTGCGAACGGGTAACAAACTAATCGTTGGTCGACGCGCGTCCAGCAAGAGGCTGTGGCGCCACGCTCAAACAGAAGCCGAGAGCCCTCGCTCTTATACCTTGACCGAAATCAGACCGCAGTCACCATACCCGAAGGACTCTCGCAAAATTACCCAAGCGTCAAAGAACACGCTGCTAGTGCAGTTGCACGCTCTGCACGTCCTCTCGTTTCGAACAGTAAGCTTAATAAAGCAAAGATTTAAAACAAGTAACACTTCGCGTGTGCATTCGTCATCGCTATATTTCAGTCATTTACTTTACATCTCTCGTACAGATAAGGTCGGTACAGGCAGCGCATCTGCCAACGCTTGAAGCATAGTCCTTGGTACCTGGATAAGTTGGTATACAAGGTGTCGTGGCCATTCAGGAGATAGACACTTGAGTGACCCACGGCGATATATATTACGAAAAGTGTTTATACAGCGTTTCGCACTTTGACCACAAATTAAGCTGTGCACGCGCACTCCTTTATTCAGAAATGCCACAAAAAAGTATCCCTGGGTACGCCATTTCTGATTCGTGAGGACCATCTTCAATATTTGTTTTCTTAAACTCCAGGATCTTTGTACTATACATGAACTGACCGAATGTGCTTGGATTTTATAAGCCTACGTGGAATACTGGTGATAATAATACAACGAAGAAGCTTACTCTAAATTTAAAACGTGTCTTTTTCTCTCCTGCTTACAATGCAAATTTCGCGATGAGTTTTGCTCGTCCATTTCGTTTCAATGTATACCTTAGTGTCGTTGAGCACTGTGCATATTGTGAGATTGCAATACGCACGCTACGCGATACTGTTAGCGCGAACATGACATTAATGCTTTTTCGCATTTTCGTTTAGAAAGGGTACCGTCAGGCAACAATATTCACCATTTAGGTTAGTAACTTACAAGACCAACTGAGCGACAGTCCTTCGACGCTACGAGGAATAAAAAGAAAACCACCGATGACTTGTCTGTGCAAAAAATGTCGTTGAGTGTATCTGAAACTGATTGGATTCTTTTTCTCTAAATTATGTAAACCAGGGGTTTTAAACTCGTGCGACTGTAGGGGCCAGATAGCCCACCACCGAAAGGATGAGGGCCTACGAAGAAGGGAGCAATATTTTGCTATTCTGGGACAAAGATAAACAAAGAAAGAGCATTGGTGTTTCACTTTGCAAAGCAGCTGCACGCGTGTGGCACACTGCCATAAGCCTTGGCTACGTCCAAGAAACAGCATATCAGATCCCTGTCTTCTTTCCTGGCGACCTCTCTGACCTGCGTTAAGACAAACTTGTTATCCTCAAGTTGCGGTCTCTTCGAAACCCATTCTGAAGCTCAGTCAGTTTGCGGGTCCCTTCTGCTCAAGCACAGATCCATTCCTTGATTACATGTGCAAATACCCTGTAGATGACGCTTGTGACGGTGAGTGGGCGGCAGCCATGAAGCCGTTTTTTTTTTTTTTTGTTGCCTCCTCGTTTTGGCAGCAGTGCGACTCTGCTGTGCATCCAACATTTGGGCATCGGGCTTCCCGAAATGACGTCAGTGAGAATATTTGACAGCTGGTTTCTGGTATACTGGCCCATGCACTTCAGTAGGACCGCGGAGATGCCATCTTCTCTTTGTGCTGTGTTTTTCTTAATATGGGAAATGTAGTGAGGTTTTCACTACCTCTCAGCTTCGGGTAGTTCGACTCTCCTGTTGATTCCGTCACTTCTGGTTTGGTGAGGTGGTCAGCTGTCTTGGTGATACCACTTGTGATGGGTCGTCTGCTGGTTCGTTTGAATTTCTTGACCCGAAGAGCATGGTCAGGTGTTCCGATAAATGTTCCGCCAAGTTCTGCATAACCCTCCCTCTATGATCGTCCCTAACTGTTGGTATAGGGCCATCTCAGACCATTGTTTTGACATATCGCCAGAATTTCTCAGCTGCCACTTTACCGCTATCCCTAAATTCTTTAATTTTGCGCTGGTCGGCCTCTGTCATCTTGATTTGGATTAGGCCTTCTAGCTTTGTTTATAGGTAAGGTACAGCTTCCAGGCCTTTTCCATTTCTCCGCTGTCTACCCTCTTGACTGCACGCCGATGACTTGCATTTCAAAGTAGTTAATTTGCAAGAGACACGTATGGGTCAGTTTACATCGCATTCACAAAAAAGCAAAACATGTATTGACTATATCTGCTTACATCCTACAGATTCGTAGGTAATATAGCAAATATCTATTGCCGCCGTCTTTCCCGTCAAATTTCTCTAAATGCCCATCAAAGTCTCCCATTAGGAGTACCACGATTCTCCTTGTCATGCGTTTTACACCAGCGTGTATGCATTCAACCAGTCACCTAATTTTTCTTATGTCTAGTTCCCTTTATCTACAACCATGTAGACCACGCAGACATTCAATGGCACATGCACAAGCTCCCCGGCAATCCAGAGATGGTCTCTGCATGATGTTTTGCCTGTATTGGCTACCGTGCAAAATCAACTCGCCGCAAAATCCCCCCCCCCCCCCCCCCCCCCCCTTTTTTTTTGTGTTTCGCCGTCCCGATTACCACTGGCCCAGCACCATCTAGAGTGTAGCGGAGGCTCCTGCGATCCCCGTGGATACGTCTTCGCCACTGCGAACAGCAATATCGAGCATCTCCTACAGTTCTTCCCATTTCGCCTGTCGCCGTGCTTCCTTAATGTTGAGGAAACCCAACGCCACCTGGATGGGCGTTCTCCGCTTACCTCGCCGACGTTTCCAACGAATACTGCGTTGCATCGGTGTCTGCGGCGCTTGATTATAGATGATTATTTCGGTCCTCTCGGTCAGGTCTCCGTCCGTTTGCCTCGCCCGTGTCCTTGGCCCGTCGTCCTGTTCCTGCCCATGCTCTGGCTTTGGAAGGTTACCAGTTGTGATCGCGGCAGTGCGCATAGGCCGATGTTGGCGTCGGTGGTGGCAGTGTCATCGTGTATATCAGCCTCGGCATTCCATTTCACCACAGACTCCGGTTGATTGGACATTTTCCATTTATGCTTCTTTCTCCCGCTATGCCTACGCCTCCTCCGTCTCCGTTTCATCAATTTGCCACCACTACCTCTAACCTTCAGCCCCTGTTCCTGACTCCACTCCCTGAAGCCCTCGTTAGTTCCTGCGCCACTGGTTCTGGCGGCCCAGGTGCTGGCTCACAATCTCTGTCACAATCGCGTGCAAATTATGTAGAGCAGGTTGGCCCGGCGGGCATATCTGGGCGACTCGTGCGGGCACCGGTAGTATCCAAGACCGTGGAGAGTGGACCGGCATCCCTCCATTTGATAGGAACTTGTGTTGAGAGCTGAATGGGCCCGTCTGTGGATTCCATCCTATGATTACCTAATTGTTTGGCACATACCGCGTGTGGACATCAATGGGAATAATCTTGAAACTCCATTCGTCCCAGCTACTTGTGTTTCTGTGTCTACATAACGAGCTTGCTGACCCAGTACACGCGTTGGCGTGTGGGTCATTGTAGTGGGGCTGCTCATTGGTCGTCTCTGCTCCGCCTCTCTGGTGTGTGGAAAAGATGTGCCCACAAGACCTGCTTTTATGCGCTGCACATTCGGCAGCAGTACTGGTTTTCCCTTTGTCGATTTCTGCTCTTTCGTATATGTGCAATTGAAAAAAAGAAATAAAAAAGTGATGGCTCGATCAGACGGCAAGCAGTCCGCCGGTGTCCTTTTGGGTAAGGATCGCTGCATCTGGGAGTCGTCCATTTTCTTCCGTCCGGGTATCCAGCAGTCTTGACACTCCAGCTTCTTCGGTGATTTCCACGACTGCTTGTTTATTCCGCCAGCACTTTTGTCTTCATCTCCTTCTAAAAAACAAATAAAAAAAATGTCTTGCCACTTGTGCTACTTGATGGGACACTGAGTGGGCACCGCTTCTGTCCGTAGTGTATTCCGTCGTTGTCCATGGTGTTTTAACCAGCCAGTTCCGTGCTCAAGTCAGGACACCTTGCACGGATCTTCCCCCCTAAAACCTTTAGCTTGACGTTGAAAAGGATTAAGGCCGCCTGAACCAGATTGCTTTTGTTCCCGACCTCTGGAACGCAGCAGATAGCAAACATTGAGAGCTAGCAAACGCCACTTGAAAGAGGAAATGTGCAATATTTATTGGGTGTATGATTCTTTTTTTTTCTTCGCATTAACATACTAACTGAAGTATTAAATGTACATCCATTTATTTTTTTGTTACGTACACATTGATACCTATTTCTCAAACTATAAAATAAGCTTCTTTATGAATTTTTTTTTCACGTTTTGAAACTCTTGCGTTGAAGTCGGTGTTCCTCGAGAGATGAGACAGAAGGTGTCTCGATGACAAGAACAGCTTAACACCGCTGCTCCCGGCAGCCGAGTAATGCGCCGGCCGGACGCCTGAAGTCCCATGGGGGGCACCAACCAAGTTGCCGTGGATCCCGCCACCTACACCGAGCCCTTTCTTTCGAGGATCTGCGCGCCCGCCATCCCTTGCCACTGAGGTGTCATCGCAAACAGTGCGAGAACTTGTGAGCGATACCTTCATGATCCAACTTGACTATTGACTATATATAGTGATTGTCATTTGTCTTGTGCTCGCTAATCTATAAATACAACTTTCTCACTTGCAACAACCGTTCCGGAAGCCCGAGACCCCTTCTTTTTTTTTTGTATACCATCACAGTCGGACAACACTGTGCAATAAGTCGAACTACGTCGAACTTTACTAAAGGTTCGAAGGTTAGCCGAACCAAGGAATAGGAGGAGACGAGGGCGCGCGGGGACGCCAAAGTGCCGCGCTGTGGTCGGAATGATTAGTGGGTAGAGGCGAAGCTGTTTGCCTTGGTCTCTACTCACTGTACGAACGAGTTTGAACGCCGAACGACGAACGCCGGCGGTTGGCGTTCGAGCGCATTCGAAGAGATCTGGAGACAAAGGCTTTGCGTCTACCCACTAATCATTCCAACCAGAGCTCGATGTTCTGACGTCCCCAGCCCGCTCTCGTCTCCTCCTCTCCCTCAGTTTCTACCCGTATAGTAACTGAGAGCTCAATAAACGCAGGGTCGTGGCGAGCTCCGAACATCTCATTATCGCTCCGCATTCAATAGGATTGCGCCATCAGCCGTTAGGAACGCCGAAGAACCAAACCGAAAGCAAGAAATGCGATCATTATAGGTCACGCCCTCCATTTCTTAAACTGTCTGTAACTATCGATGTTTGTAAGCAGCCGCGCTTGGAGAGCGAGTCTGGACACCATGGATGGAAAGCGCTTTGATTGGGCGCCAGTCTGGAAGCCGTGGATACCCCACAGCAACGTATGACTATCAGACGATCTACCCACACCGGCAGCAATATGGCGGCGCCCAGGGGCTCTATACTTGAAAACATCTATAGTCACGCCACTGTGGTGGCGCTGCCGTTGGCACTGCGCATGCGCAGACGCTGCACTCCTCCCGAATTTCGTTTCTGTGCGCGCACGGTGCCCACACCTGGAGTGGACAAAAAGCGGGCTTGTTTGTAAACAGTGTGTTGGTGTATAGTCGTTTCAAACGCAGTCATTGCTCGCCGAGAAGCAGCCTAAACGATAAAAACAAAACTAAAAAAAATGCCGGAAGGATAGCCGAGTTCTTTTACGACGGGACAAGCCTCTGGAGCGGAGGAAGGAAGGCATCACCGGGGATTGGCGAATCGATGGAAGGGCGGTTGGAGGGCGACCGCAACAACTCCCGGCTTTTCTTTTTTTTTTTTTTTTCTTTTTTATTGTGGTGTTTTTGTCTTTTGTCTTAAGACGCCAAGGCCGCGAGACGTCACTTTGCGAAAGATCTCGCGGGGCGGTGGGTTAATCGTCTAGGAAAAATAAATGCGCTGACAAAGAGGAAATGAAAATTTCTCATCGGAGTCCATCATTGTGTCGACGGGTTTCCCAGAAGGGGAAATCCGTCCCTCCCTTTTGTTTACCGACATGTTGAGCGGTATCGATCTGAAGTCAGCTGCTGCTGGCCTGTGGCTATTTCATTCTGAGCAGCTCCACTAGTGAGCGAAGTCGGCTACTATTATTAGGCCGCTTCACAGAGGCATGTGTCACCCGGCTCGTTGACGCTGCACTAATTCGCTTAGCTGGCACCACTAAATTTGCCCCATTAAATTAATCACACACACGCACACACATATATACACAACAACAACAAAAAACAACAACAACAACAACAACGAAGACAACAACAAAACAAAAACAAGATTGCACAAAGCAAGGTATTTCTGACTGTTTTGACAGAGTTGGACTAGGCACTGCGATAAACGCTGAAGGCACGAGCTACAGCTTTGGAGGTTTTATTTCAGTTTTCTTTTAAATATGTTTCAACGCGTGTAGGCTGGCATAAAAGTCACGATATTTTAAAACATATAAAAAAAAAACTCCTAATATGTAAACCCAGATTAAAAAAAAAATCAAGTTTTATTTTAGCTGATCGCTTTGTTTCGATATAATATGTTTTCGTCAATAAATGTTTTCGACAGGGTGCACCCAACTAGAGTAAACAACGGGTAATGAGTAATTCACCATAAACGTAGAGAACAGTTTAATTAAAAAATCTCAAATCTTTAGGTGCACCTCGAAATGCTCTATATGTTTGAACAGGGGCTGTCTGATCATTTGTTTTAACACAAACTTTGTTCGTAATATGACGAGAAAAAAAAAAAAAAAAACAAGCAAACATTACCGCTAGGCGCGTGCCATCACGTAGTCCTAACACCGAGCACTTCACGTGGTCACGACGCTGAGTCAGTCTGTTATTTTATTTGTCATCTCGAAAGCTTCCGAAGAAGGTTGTTTTCGCCGGCTTTGTGCACACGGTGTCATCAGGAAAATTGCGTCTGCGGCCGGCGGCAGACGCTATCGCAAACTACTCTGGAGTCAAAGAGGTCACGGTTCGATAGGCCGTTGTCTGAGAGCCGACGTATGGAAAATCATGATATTTGAACTCCGGCGTAGCTTGGAGGCCGCTCTCCTCGGCAAATGGCTGTTTTTCTTGTTCCTTCGAAGTTGTGCAACTAAGGCTCATGTAGGACGAAGTGGGTACGGCTAGACAATGGAAGAACCTGATTTACTAAAACTCTCTAATAAGGGATCATATATCGGAAAAATGGAAACGCCACGTGAAACATGTATGAAAATTCAAAATAAAAAGAATTCAAACGTTTCAGGGCTTCGTTCTTGATATTTTAATTTCTTTTGGGTTAATTATATATATATATATATATATATATATATATATCGATGAAACAAATATTAAGTTAATTTCTACAAGAAAATCACGAGTAGCTTTTTTTTAAGCGTGTTTGGAATCTAGCAGCGTTAAAAACCTAACTTCCGTTTAAAAAATAAAGAAAGAAATGGCGTGGAAAATTTTTTAGAAGTTAAGAATTCGTCCTATTATCGGTTTGTTCTGCGGTCACGTGTTCCCAACTTTACTTTTGTCACACGGATATTTAACCTGACACACTAAAAGTACTCAGACAAACAAATATGATGCAGTGGTGCTGTCGATATGTCGAAAATTAGAAATATTTAAAAGGAGAATAAAAATGAAAAGCTAAATTATTGAAAAGTAAAGGAACACTTGTCAATTGGGTTCATAAACGTTCCTTCGGAACAATTAAACACGTCTGAGAAGAGATCGGAATTTCTCAGCGCTGCGTTGACCTTGTGCCAAGCCGGGGCCTCGGCCCCGGATTGCAGAAGTCTGTCCAAAAACACGTCGTCGTTCAGTTCGCAGTAATTCAGCGCGTGGTACACAAAATGCATTTTCTCCGAGGAGAACGCTGCCATCCCTCGCAGATAGACGTCTCCCTCCTCGAGACCAGACATGAAGGCCTTGAATGCCGGAACCACCGACAGCGCATGCGCGAGAAGGTCCCCGCCCATCGCTCCCGACCTAAGCGACATGTTGACATGCTCGTCTTGCAAGTCCCGGAACTGATTCGTCAGGCACGTTCTGGCCTCGTCCAGAAAAAGCCAAGACCTCCTGTGCCCGGTGTGGTACAGGAAGTTCAGAGACTCTTTGTAGACGAACTCGTACACGCTGGCAGCGATTCGCGGGGCAATTCGGGACATCTGGAGTGGCAGAAGTGTACTGTCATCCGCATCAGCTCGGAAAAAATCGAAGGCTGCCGGCGGGACGTCGACTCTGTCCGAATTGACGGCGGCAACAGTCTTCAGGAGGCCGCCGATCCAGGGCGCGTCGACGAAGATCCCGGTCAGGTAGCGTCCGTACTCGTTAAAGTTTTTCCGTTTGATGAGCCGAGCAAACTGTTCGTGAACCGGAACTCTCGGATTTTGCGTGTAGTAGTAGCCGAGGTACTTTCTTCGCGATGTTTCGCGAAGTACCCACTGCGGTATCAGCGACGTCCATCTGGCGCGTCTAAGGACCCCGATGATGTAAGCCTTGAATGGATTGGGGAATGTTATGGCTATATGTTTGAGAAGCTGCTGCTTGACAATCCTCACGAACCGCTTTGTGTTGAGGTGACGCAGGGCTGCCGCGATGTCGTCTCGAGCGGAGTACAGAGAGATGACCGGTTCGAGCTTTTCGAAGAAGCGAACGCAGTAGTGTTCCTGGCGGAGTGGCGGATGCCATTCGGGGTACCTGAAGAAAGATGATAAGGCGGAATTAAACGCGGAGACAGAAATGTGAGGTTAAAGGGGCATTGTAGTAGACGGTTTTTCTCCTCCGCTACGTTACCCGTGAAGAAAACACTGCAGCTGCGCGTGCGCGCCGCCAGCCTTGTCTGCATAGTTCAAGGTCTCGTGGCGGATTACGGGGCACTAACCGGGTGCTTAGCGGGCTGCGGGAACGGTCTATTAAAACTCCCTAATGTATCCTACACCTTCTCACGAAGGGATGCAATTATAGGCACATGCACTCTAAAAAATGCCTGCACATCTACGTACCCTTAAATCACTAAAATATCCAATCTCTGCGATATAGACGCTTTACAGCAGCTGTGCGTGGGCGCCGCCATAACTGACCTTCAGTTTTTGTTCCCTCTTATTCCGTTCGCTTCACTTCATCATTACCACAGCAAAACAGGCTATTGCCATTTTACATGCTGCTGTGTTCTTGTGCCCAGCATAGGCCCTTGTGAAGACCCGTCAACGCCCGCTTCAGTGGCTCGGCATCTCGGTAAGACAAGAGAAGGGCGGCTATGGCGGCTCAATCTGGCGCGTGGGTAAAGCGTGTATAGGAAATCAGCTCAGCGAATGATGAGGCGGAACATTCGTTTACACCTAAAAGCGAAGTCTGCGCTGTGGCATTATACGCAGTGCAAAGCGTCATGCTTGCATTGCATAATGCCACAGCGCAGACTTCATTTTGAGGTCTAAACAGATATTCCACCTTATCATTCGCTGAGCTGATTTCATAGATCGCAGAAATTGGCTCTTCGAGTGTTTTGCGGGTATGTTGACGCGCAGGTATTTTTTTTATAGTGTGTGCGCAAGCTTGTTTGTTGAAGACGATTAGCTTACAGAGAAACTTGCGCAAGAGGAGCGCATTTTTTCCACAGTGGCTAGCGTTCCTCCTGCAATAAATAGCGAAACTCTTAAGATGTAATTATCTCTAATATATAAGATAAGTGGCGTAAAGAAAGGAATTAAACGCAAAAAAACGAGTGGTAGAGGTGTTTTTAAATTACAAATAACTCAAAAGTCCACTAGTTCTTTTTTTTTTTTTTTTGGGGGGGGGGGGGGGGGGGCGGGGGGTAGGGGGGTTGGGGAGGTCAGTATATAATAACACTGGGAATTAATTTAGCTTACCTGGATACCGAAAGGGCACCGAGAAAGTCAAGAGACCGGTTCCGGGGGAGTAACGGTGCCAGCGCGAGCTTTGTCCGGAATCCTAGGTACGACAGTATTTCAACATCTTGTAACTCCTGGAGTACGTACTGGAGGGCATTGAGGTAACGCATGGAATCGACCATGACGTACAAGGAAGAAAAATCTGTTTCTTCATCTGCCAGCATGGCTTTGAACAGCAGGTTCCACCTGAGCTTGCCCGGGCTGGGAAGATCTTCAACCTGTACAATGCGAGGCACTTCGGGTGGACTGTTCACGATGGCTCGCGCGAGGCCACGTTCTACGTTGAGAACGTTGACCTCCAGTCCCTGCGTTAAGTTGCTATCTTGCAGAATTATCTTCATAGCTTGCGACACATAGCTGTAATTTTCTTTATCGTTGTCCCCTAAGAAGGAACCTATGACCAGTCTCGGGAGTCCTATAGCAATGAGCGTCTCGTTAGGAAAGTCGACATCGACGGTCGGCCTGATGGAAAACAAAGCTGGTTCGTTTATCAACCTGTAGAAGATGCCGATGCTAGAAGATAGCTTGGAGTCTTCGACGGTCGCGAACATAGGCCAGACCGATTTTCGCAGTCCGCTGACCATCGTCTTGATGTTAAGGAACCAGCTAACGTTCCCCAGCTGGCGAACAAACCGATCAAAGAGCTGCTTTTCAGCGTCTCCGGACCTGTGATAGCGACACTCGTTGTACAAATCTGCAACGTGTTCGATGTCTTCCAAGTAACGCCGGAACGCTCCGTCTACGAGCTTGGTGACAACGTCTTGAGTAAGCGTGTCCACGGACACCTTCGCGGACCCTTCGGGAACGGTTATACCCCGAGACCATTTCCCACAAACGTATTGGTAGAAATCGTCGCAGGGAGACACAGAGTCGTCCAGCTGGCGTGACAGGTTGAGCGCCTCCCTCTTGCAAGCTGCACTACTACATGGTTTTGAATCCTGAGTTAACTGGGGCGGTTCTTTGTCAACCCTGACAGTAGGCTGCACAATCGTGTTCCAGTGGAGTTGAGCTGCCCTCGCTCTTCCTGTGGTTTTCGTTGGAACTAGTCTCGATGAATCCTTTGGATGCCTTACTGACTCATTGAACGTTGGACGAGCGTGTAGTTGGTGGTGAATCACGTCGCTGATTTCTTCGGCAGGCTTGATGATGGTCGGCATCAGAGCGGCCCTGCTGTTAATGAGCGCAGCTCTGAACGCTATGAAGGGCAGGACTCCAGAGAAGAGGACCGCGACGGACGCGAGGAGGACGACAGAGGACTTGCTGCTGAGGAGGCGTTGGGCGGCCGACATATCTTGTGCGGGCTGCAAGTTCTCCGTGGAAAGCTCAATGATTTCATCACCGGTACCGTCCGTCCACATTGTTAAGGACGGAGAAACGAGAGAAGCGTGTAGATGTTTATGAAATAACGAGTACCTTACGTGAGACAAGATGTAGCAATTTGAAGCAGTAGGACATGGATTGTCAATACCGAATACGAGAGAGCACGTGAACTAAACGCGCGCTTAGCCGTGATCGAGCTTCGAACTGCAAGCACGATGAGCGCATGAAACCTTGCGCGTGAGTTTTGTTTTCTTTCAAGGATACCCTATCGACCAAATGGCAATTTTCATCGCGCGTTTTTCAATCTACTTTAACGGCTTCGTCTTTAGACCATCAAGTGCTGTGAATATCTGATTTGCTCGAGAAGGCTGCCGAGAGAACCTGCCCCACAGCTTTCTGCTCTAGCCTCTATAGGTGCCGTGGAGTTCGCGAGAATCGCCATTAAAATTAAATTTAAAGCCGATGAAAGTTGCGCACGCGAACTCTTCACTGATTCTAAAATTACCGGTACACAAAAAGTTGACCCTGAGCGCAGTTAAAGGGATACTGAACCAAGAAATTTAGTGTCCCTAAGTAAGTGACGCGTTCTTTCCACGAGCCAGCAGCCGCCGGTGTGCGCGACCACACGCAACAAAAATGACGTCAAAGATTTCCATTCGCGGTTAAGACGACAGTGAAATGAATGGGCTTCGGGCCGAAGGAGCATAAAGACAAGTGTTTCATCTACACAGTGGTGTCTGGTGTAAAAAGTAGGCGATTAATTGGTCTAACAAACAAGCACGTAGCTTTCCATTGTAGAGATGAAAAGCCTGTCTTTGTTCTCCTTTGGCCCGAAGCCCATGCATTTCACTGTCCTCTTAAGCGCGAATGAAGGTCTTTGACGTCATTTTTGTTGCGTGTGCTCGCGCACACCGGCGGCTGCTGGCTCGTGGAAAAAACGTGCGCCACTTATTATGGACACTAAATTCTTTGGCTCAGTATAGACGCTTTGCAGCAGCTGTGCATGGGCGCCGCCATAACTGACCTTCAGTTTTTGTTTCCTCTTATTTCGTTTATTTCACTTCGTCATTACCATAGCAGGCCAGGTTATTGCCACATTATATTCAAAGCTGGGTCCTTTTCTAAATCATCGGCCTTTGTAGAGGATCGGCAACTACCGTTTCAGTTGCTCGGCATCTCGGTGAGACAAGAGAAGGTCAGCAATGGCGGCTGTAATTTGGCGCGTGTGTAAAGCGTCTATACCTTTAAACAGCAATGTGTTCTAAAAAGGCTTCACAGCATCGGACAGAATTGATACATCCCTGATTTGCATATATTCGGGGACCACATTTTCTCTCATTTCAGAAGAAGTGAACACCGAAGCCAAGGATACATGAGCACCCCTAGGGGTGCCTATATACATTTGGCCTCATTGGCAGAAAACGTTATCAAAGTGCCCACCTACATTAAATGTTGTCGAATGGATCCCTCTGGATTCGCTTGCCTTCCTTTGGCTTACAGAACGGCTTGCTAAAATATCGAAACTTAAATCTAAAGACAACACGAGCAACCTCTCTCGGCTTCGGGAAACGAATTTGCCTACCACTAGAGGCATCTTATTAGCCCCGTGCGCGACCGAAAGCGTCGCTGTGGTCGGCCTTCCACGATTGGCCGAACGCTGACTATGACGTAGGAAAGGGGATTTATCATCGACGGAGATAAGAGGAATGAAAGAACTTTAATTTGGACGGTGTTGGCAGTGTTCCCTTGAGAGCGCAATGATTTCAGGCTTCCACCATGTTATTTACAAACACCATCGAACTTGTTGTTTGCAAGGTAATGACGTCACAAGGGGGAACCATAGGAGGGCGCCACCAAAACATCTCGCCGCTAATAGTTGTGGCGCCCTCCAACCCAGTTGCCTGTTTTTCTGTTTTTTTTTTTTTTGTCAGCGATATGTATCAGGGTGTTACGTTTCCTGATTGACGCGGGGGCTGAGGTTAGTATTCTACCAGTTTCGTTCGACTACCAGTTTAGAAAAAGTCCACGTTAATCTTAAATAAACAATTTACTTGAAGGTCAAGTGAGCTGTCAGAGGCACTTGCCTGGTTCGCGACTCGTTGTACCGGTAACGCCAGCTCTCATTACCTTTAGAAAACACTCGACTAAAATATTCTTCCTTAACGGACATGTAAACTGCGACAAAAAGAAGAGCACACATTTTTGAAACATTAAGTGACCCCTTTAACGTAGTGAAAAAAAAAGAAAAAGAAAAGGCTGTATCGGACTTTTGACATGCAGTATCTTACCAAACAGGTTTTACGAATACGAACACACTGCAAGAACACACGCTGGATTTGCGGTTGAAGTTCTGCTGTGAGTCTTCTGATATCGTAGATGTTTAGTAAGGAATTAAACAGAAATTATTTCTTTAGTCTTCATTTAAAAGTGTAATTTCATGTAAAGTTCAAGTTCGTTTGTTTTTACTGATCTTTTCCATCCGTCCACGCTCCCACAAGAACCAAAAAGAAGAAAAAAATTTACAGCAAAGTTTAAAGAAGCTTTCGGGACAAACACTGTCTCGTTTATAGCCCAACACGATTCTGAACACTGCACGTCACTGTCAGGATGGTATTTATTCCGGCACTGCTCCATTATCGCGTAGTGCTTGTATACGCTCACTTCCGCAATATATATATACTTTAAAACAACTGTCGCCGGTGCGTAACCTTGAAAAGGACTATTGTTGCTCGTGCACCAGAGAATCGTATGTAACTTAACCAAGTTACGTAATTTTCCGCAAACTTTTGCTACTCGTGAAGTTTATTGAGAAGGTCGCTGAATCTTTATTGATGTTTTTATCGTGTCCTTAAGTCTTTCTATTGTTGTAGTTTGACGTTCGTCAATCCGCAGGTAAAGCTGTGCGGCACGGGTCCCGGCTAAGTAGCAACCTTTGAGTGCCACAACCATTTTCTGATTATAAAGTTAGTGAGAAAAATTACACTTTTAATAGCATTCTCTCTAAGAACTTTCGTTGAGAGCAATGTGGGTAACAACGGATACTTTATTAACATGGACGTTTCGGTGAGAGGCTTCCCTTATTTGAAGAAGGGAAGCATATTTCCGAAATGACAACACTGTTATTCACATTCCTTTCAACGTTAATAAATTCTCGACGAAACTTTTATATCTTTAAAGACTCAGCAACCACACTCGGTCAAATGATAGAGCCAATGCGATAACATGGACCGGGAAGCAAAGAGGAACAACTCCCCTCCAACGAGAACCGAGTTTTTGTGCGTACATAGGCAGGGGTTAGTTAATATTTGACCAACACCGAAAGTTGTCCGCTCCCTTTGTTTCCATCCTCCTCCGCTTTCATTTGGTTAATGACACCGACACGCGTCCAGGATGAGTCATAAAAAAAGAAGGAGAGACAATATTACTCCAGGAATATTGAAGACCGCCGGCGAGATCCAAGGCTACACTCCCCGTCACCCTACGTTGGATTGCAGTGGACCCTGCGAGCCATCGAAGCCAGTCCACTGTCGCGCGAATTTCACGTGATCTTCGACAGAAAAACAGCGAAGTGCCGGGCTCCCAGTCACGTGACATGTAAACAGCATTCGATTGGCTCGTATAGGGTCCGCTGCGGGCCACTATAAGGTGACACCGAGTGTAGGGGAAACTCGGTTTTTATCAGAGAGCAGCTTGCCGTGTATAGCCGTCGGTATAGCTCACCCCCTTCCGCAGACACGAATGTGACGTCACAGGGAGATTGCCGCTCCCATTGGCCAAGAGGGAAAGGGGGAGGAGGAAGGAGAGGAGAAAAACCGAGAAGGTGGAAAGAGTCGATTTACGGCGCGCGTTTTTCTCTTCTCCGGCCCCGACCTCGGCGGCAAAATCTCGCCGAGGCATCGGAGAGATCTACTTTGCTCGGACACACGGCGGCGAAGGAAGGATGAGGCGTAAGTCGCCTCGGCGCCAACTGGGTCCGGTGAGTCGGGTTCTGATCTCTCGGGTTTCGTACGCATTGATCGTACGTCTGTATCGGCACGAGGAACTCCTCGATCTATGTGAAAGGGCTCTTAAGCTGCTGTCACGCTGGCACGGTGTTCTCGCGCGAACTTGACGACAGCATTGTCCACAGACATGCCTCGGGCATGTTTCGAGGCGTGTCTTGCGTCACACGGATGTGTGCTTTGAACATGTCCGCAGACTTTGTAACAGCGGCTCTAAATATGTCTGTACGTGTAAGCCTTGGCTCCACTGTAGTGATGACAGCGCTCGTGTGTCACGGTGACTTTGTTCCAGGGGCGCGATAACTCGGTTGTAACAACACGATGTGATTTCAGTTGTGCACTTTGTGAGTAGTAAAAAGGTCGCGGACGAGACAGAATTGATCGGCTATTTCTCGAATTCGCGGTTTCGTTCATATAGTGTTTTGATTAGTTTGTTATTATTTTGAACGCTGTCTTAAATGCCGAAATGGCAGTGACTATTTTGACGTCCACTTTGAAAATAATTTTTGAATATTATTATGACGTCCGTGGCGCCTCTTCCTGGAGACATGAAATTATATTCAAAAACAGTTTGACGTCCCCGTCAAAATAGTTTTGTTATAATTTTGATCGACGTCTCAAACAGAACTTTGTCAAAGTCCGGACTAAAAACCATCAAAAATGGCGGTCAAAAAAAAAAAAAAAGTAAAATAAAAAAGAAATAATTTTGCAGGCAGCGTCGCGGTTCGACAGAAATTTTCCGGAGACAAATGTTATGCACTCGACTGCTGTGTTTATGACCTTTTAAGTGATATGGAATGCAAAACGACCTAAAAATACACCAGCTATCAGGCCGAAAGTAACGTTTGCTTGATTGTGTCAAACACTACAAACTGCGGCAACGCTGCTTTTCATTATTTATTTCCCGTGATCCATATGGACAAAGGAGCTGAATGCCGTGTCATAAAATTTTCAGTTGCTTAGAAAATGCGTGTATCTGGTACAAGCGCGCCAGAACCTTTGTTCGTTCGCACCGGCCAAGAAACATCGGGGAGGAAATGGTTGCATTCCTAACCTTTTATTTAACATCCCGATCGGTTCGTAGTTAACCCGCTCGTTATAAACAAATTAAACCAAACATCTAAACTAGTTGGAAAATTTTATTTACAACAGTGGTGTCATGAAGCAACGAAATCACGAAATTTGGTTAAAATAGAACGGAAGCCAGATGCAAAGCACGATATAAAGGCACAAAAGGCTTGCCGAATTTCTCGGTGTTACGTCGTGTATATGCACTTACCTCTGTTACGAGCAAGGAAGACAGAGGAATATCCAGCTCTCCTTTGTTGTAAATTCAAAATTTTAAGCGAGACGCGTGCCGAGATGCGAGCTCAGAACATCGCCACCTGGCGTGTCACGTCTGAAAGGATAAACTTTCGAGCCAGTCCCACCCACACGCTGAATAAGACATTTCCACTGCCAACTAGAACCGAAACTATCCGTCCAAACGCCAACACAACACCGACAACACCATCAGAAACTAAACAGAACGAAAGCACAAAAGCGCTACCGCTGGTGCATTGAAGGAGGACATTGAAATAATAAAACCACTATTTTGACGTTTTACGGAAGTGGCGTCACAGAGGTCGAAATACGTTTTGAGATATTTTGAAGACGGACGTCGAAATAGTCACTGCCTGCAAAGATCATCGTGGGACGAGAAAAAAACGACAAAAAAACGCACACGTTTACTTATTTATTTATTAAATGATTCATTTATTTAATATTACCTCGAAGGCCTCACCAAGAGATGGGCTGCTGAAAATTGCGATCGTAAAAATGTAACAAATACACTCAAAAACGACAAAAAAAAAAAAAATCACTCGACAACGACATAGGCCAGGGGTGGCCAGGCAGACCCAGCTTAAGAGCTTTAAACAAAACCATTAAACTTCGAAGAGCCGCCTGGAAGAGGAAAGACAGAAAACGTGAGAAGGGGGGGGAGGGCTTTTGTCCTGAGCAATAAATGAAACTGGAATCGCTGCTTTAGATCTATCCGAGTCAAAAACTGTTCAACTGAACATAAAGTAGCAGTATTAGCACAAGACTACCAAACCGCAACCTGACTTTCAATTTGAAACGTGTTCTATTTCTTTTTTTGGGGAAGGGCACGTGTGACCAAGAGGAAGGCGGGGAAGGGGGGGGGGGTAGGTTTGCTAGGGAGTCGCGAGCCGCATTTGTACGCTCAAGGAGCTGCATGCGGGTCCGCTGCGGCTCGCGACCCGCAAATATAAGCTACGTATCGTGGAACGCTCATTTTCCGTCCAAATGTAGCGCTAGAGGTCCGAACGAGATGCCGAAGTTTCAGCAATAAATGTTAATTTATGCAAATGTTATAGGTAATGGTCTGAAATTTTCAATGGGAAAATGGCGTTTGAAAGGCACCATGGAACCATAGGCGCCGACTACGGGGCTTCAGAGCACCCCCGTAGTCGGGCGGTGCAGAGAACCCCCCGGAAAATGCCGCGTTCCGCCCCCCCTCCCCCCCACAACACACACACACAGACATATCCCCCGGGAGCTCCTCGGGATAGCAAATAAAAAATCCCCCATCTTTGCCTATAAAAAAAAAAAAAATAAAAATACAGGGTTTTATTTACCGCAGAAATAAACTATACATCACTGAGCATTTATTCTCCACCCAAATGAGCGAGATCCGTGTTTCGAATGCCGCATGGCAATGAGTTAAAGGAGAAACCTGGGCACGTGGCATTCGAACCACGGATATTGCGGTGACTCCTGTTTGCAGCCTGTCTTTTGTATGATGTGCAGTGTGACCCCGGCTTATCACTCAGCGAGCACCGCAGTCGCGAGCAACATCTAGAGCAACACCCTCGTCCTCCGTGTCTTCTGCTTCCCAGACTTAGAAAACATTTTTGAAAACATCAAAACCTTCCCGTTCGTTTGATTTTAGCGTAGAATGTATATTCCGAATACGTAAAGCGAGGAATGTGCTCCGCCCAAAATTCGATGCCTGCAAGTTCGCTTTCCTCATGAAGTTTCGATCCAGCTGGACGCATATAACCGCTTCTTCGCCAATACAAAGTTGGCGGCGCAAAAAAAAAGGAACGCGACCTTTTCATTCTCCGTCGTATGGGCGCTGCCATCTTGAAATAACGTAACGCGGCCGACATCAAGTTGCTTTAACTTGTAATCCAGCTCCCCCCTCCGCAAACTTGGCGAATGCGTTGTATTCGTGCTTTTCGTCGCGTTTCACCGCGCTTTCTTCCCTTACTTTGTAAGGTGTAGTCTGGTACTTACCTCTACTAGCCAATTGCATTTCATCATAATGTGCACAACTTCTGCTGTTAATTTTGTAGCACGATTTGACTATTTTCACCGTCGGCGTACCAAATGTGTGTGAGGATGGGCCACAGGAATCAGCGTTAGCACTGAGCCACATTGATTATGTAGAGGACTGAGACATCACGAGGGTTCAAAGGTGAATTCATTATGACAACTGGGGTTTGTTTACAAATAGTGGTGAAACGTTGACAATAACAATCGCGTATATTTATATCCCGCATTTAGGATCTGTGTTTCATGAAAGTGTCGTTTTTTTGTATTCATATAGATCGAAAGCAGTTCCTGTTGATTATGTGAGAAAACTCGTAAAGGAGATAGACAACGAACGTTGAACTTGTATTTTATCTGATGCTAGGAATAATGGTACTTCAACATCAGGCGACTTGTTTGTTCATCATGTCACACTTATACGTGTGTATCAGGTTCTCAATCTTTTTTGCGTCGTAAACATTCAATTGGTCGGTTTACTTATGAAGTTTAAGAAAGTGTATACTGTGCTCGGTCCCATTTCGGTAGTCTGTCAACTGATTTATTGATTTAGTTTAGATAACCAATTCAATACACTCAACATATTTTAACACAAAGGTTTAGACTTCACGCGTAAGAAACTGCCACAGAGAGCTTAAGAGTAGCGGGTTTTAGAATAGCGTACACGTAGTCTTTAGTAGCCAATCCAAAACGGGGTTTGGGTTTTGTGATGCGCAATAATGACGACGATTTTCTTCTTTTTTTTTTTGCCCACCCAACATTTTTTTTGCACACGCTGATTTAACTCTTGTTAGTTTATGCCAAATATTGCGGTTGCCAAACCGCAATATTTGGCACAAAAAAAAAGCCGTCTGAATAACAATCACCCGAGTGCAGGGTGGTCGATGGAGAATAGAGGTTTACTTTTTGTGGCTGGCGACACCGATACTTACAAAGCAAATCTGTTCAAACAAATACAGATTTGTTCACACAGGTTCATGAAGTGTTGCCTAGCGTTAGACTTCAGCCAAACTTTTCGAGGTACTTTTACGCGAAGACAAATTTCAGACTTAACTTGACGTGTGTGTCACTTTTATCTTAAGTAAGCAAAAGTAAGTAAGCATATATGAGCATATCTTGGGTAAGCAAATGTCCATATGAAATTAAACTAGATTTTTTAGATAAAATAAGATGAAATGCTGATCCTAAGTACTTTAACGGGGTTGATAATTTAAGAAATTTCCTAGACGGCCTATATCGCATTGTCGAAATATTGCTCGAGCACTTAATTAAAATAAGCAAAAACAGGCCGAGACGACACTGCTTGTTTATATGAATTATCTGCGTCATTATACGAGACTTTTTTAGTCTACTAAGTTCCCTAAAAGTTGGGTTTTCACGGAAACCAAACAGTGAATGGTATATACCCGCGGGATCATCTGTTCTGCCCGATTCAGCACATTGCTTATCAAGCTGTCGGTATGCTTCTTCCCATTCACCTTCTAGTCTCTTCATTACTCTAGTTTTCTTGGAAATTAGTGACATTGGGTACGGCCGTAGACGATGGTAATCTTCCCTGTGCATCAGTCTGGCGTTTCGCAACCGACCATAATCAGATACATCAAAGGAGTTAGTAAAAAGGCCCGCAATTTAAGATAAAAAA